AATAATGATTGACGAATAATTTATCTGCCTAAATTGTAGAAGCTATGTAATCAAGTAACTAATAAAAATTATGAGGCAGTAAGATAAAGAATCGAAATAAGCTATTTCTTGAAAATTATATTAAACCTAATAGCATCACAATATTAGAAAGAAATTACTTATTACAATTACATAGGATACACAACTGTACCTTGTAGTTGTTCTATTTATTCAAATATTTCAATTTAGTAGAAAATAGGTATAAATAATCTTAGTAATTATTGTTGTTTCTAATAGTATAATTTATATTGCCATTCACTAGACTTAGTTGAACAATGGTTGAATTTAGTTTCTCTCTTAATAATTGCCCGTTACTTCCTTTTTTAGTCATAGTTAATTTCTATATTCATTTTCTACAATACCTTCAAACCTTCATTAAATTTTTTATCATTGGAATCTCATTCTTATTTTCTCAACATATAATTTTGTAATATTTTATTTCAATTTGATGTGTGTCTTAAACTTTCTCTGCATATTTCCCACTTTATTATTTTTCAATAAAATGGAATGAATCTTTCATAATTTCAGTTTATTAGATTCATAATATTAATTATCCTTTTCAAAGTAACTTAGATAAGATTCTTTTATTATTGTATTTTATAATGAACCTTATCATTATTAGTTATTATTTTCATTAATAAAATTACTAATTTTTTATTTTCACCATAAAGATATAATCTTCTAGTATAATTAATTTTTTCTAAATATATCTTAACCTAACCAAAAATATTTCTCATCATATTTCCTTGCTGAATATTATTTATTAAATTTAAGTTATTCAAGAATTCTAAAATAATTAATTTCCATTTTTAATCTCAATCTAGTTTCTTAAAAATTATACTAGTGCTTATTAAATTATAAATTCTTATTATTAACAAACCTTTTAATTAAATCCAAATGCATTTTCTTCTGGAGAAATGCTATCTCCTTAATAAAAGAATTTACATAATTATTTTGGCTACTTTAAATATAAATGCTGAATTACAATCATATTTTTTTACTGATTAACTTTTATGACCAAGTAATTATCCAATTTACTATATGTCCTTTCAAAGCTGAAATGCTTAATTGCTCAATAAATATGCTGTATATAATTATTTATTAAATTAATATATTATATATACTATTATAAAAGTATGATCAAATCTTAAATGTTTTATAATTAAATTATGGAAATATTCAAATGTCGAATTGGAGGTTTTAATGATGAAGCAATTCTTGGATTTTGCCAAATTAAAAATTTTTAAAAGAACCCCTAGTTTTGTTTCAAAACTTACACTTAAGCACTTTAAGATCATGATGATGATTGTTTAAGATTAAATTTGTTAAGTGGATTAATCAATGAACATATTCAAAATCATTCTAATTTTATTGATTAGTAAAATGGTATTAGGATTCAGCTAGAATCCACATTTAGAAAATATTAATCGATATTGGAATAATAGATTTAAAGATTAAAAGAAATGGATTAATAATTAAATAATATATCATGCTTATCTTTTGAATAATATTTGCATTTCATATAATAATTGGAATAGTAAAATACTTATGAAAAATAGAGTAAATAAGAATACTAATTTTAGGATTTTTCATAATACAATTGAATAAGACTATTGAAGCATTGAAGGAATTAAAAAAAGAACAATAGGCAATATACTTAGAAGGAAGCAATATGGCAAGAAATGTCTAAGAAGAACCAAGCTAATTTTAGAGATAATAAAAAGCTTAATAATTTTAATTCAAATATGAATAGAAAAGAAAAAAATGTTTAGCAAGATAATTACTTAATGATGAATATTTATAAGAAGCATTAAAATCCTTACCTGATTCTTAACAAGATTGTATTAGTTCAGGTAAAATAAAATTAATTTTAGGCAATATATTATATAATTTGAATCGTTTTGAGAAAGCTATTTAGTTTTATGATAAAGCTTTAAACATCGATCCTAAAGATTCTGATGCACTGAATAACAAAGGTAATTAAGTTCTTCATTTTATTTAAAATTTTAGGCGTAGCATTAAGCGAGTTAAATTATTTTGAGGAAGCTATTTAAGTTTATGATACGGCTTTAAAATTGAATCCAAAACATTTTGAAGCGACATATAACAAGGGTAGAGGATTTTTTAATTTATATTTAATTTTAGGTAATGCATTATATAATTTGAATCGTTTTGAGGAAGCTATTTAGTTTTATGATAAAGCTATTTAAATCTATCCTTAAGATTCTGATGTACCCAAAAACAAAGGTAAATAGGCTTTTTATTTGTTATTTTAGGCAATGCCTTATACAATTTGAATCGTTTTTAGGAAGCTATTGAATTTTATGATAAAGCCATAAACGTTAATCCTGAAGATTTTGATGCACTCAAAAACAAAGGTAAATAAGTCTTCCTATTAATTTTAATAATAGGTATTGCATTAGATAGGCTGTGTTGGTTTGAAGAAGCCATTTAAATATATGATCAGGTTTTAAGAATTAATCCTAAAGATTGTGATACACTCAAAAACAAAGGTATATTAGTTTTTCATTTTAATTTTAATAATAGGTATTGCATTAAGTAGGTTATGTCGGTTTGGAGAAGTCATTTAAATATTTGATCAAGTATTAAACATCAATCCTAAAGATTGTGAAGCACTCAATAGAAAAGGTACATGGGTTATTCATTTAATTTAATAATAGGTCTTGCATTATATGATTTGAATCGCTTTTAGGAGGCTCTTTATTTTTATGATACAGCTTTAAACATCAATCCTAATTAATGTGATGTACTCAATAACAAAGGTAACTAAATTTAGAATTTTATTCTCAATTTTAGGTTTGGCATTAAGATAATTAAATTTTTATATTGAAGCCATTTAGTTTTTTGATTAAGTTCTTAATATAAATCCTAAAGATTTTGCAGCGCTATAAAACAAAGGTTAATGAATTTTACATTATTTTAAATTTTAGGCTTTACATTATATAAAATGAATCATTTTGAGGAAGCTGTTTAGTTTTATGATAAAGCTTTAAATATTGATTCTTAAAATTATAATCTGCTCAAGTGCAAAGGTAAATGAGTTTTTTATTTTATTATAGGTTTAGCATTATTTAATTTGAATCATTTTGAGGAAGCTATTTAAAATTATGACAAAGCTTTAAACTTCGATCCTAATGGTGTTGATCTGCTCAATAACAAAGGTAATTGAGTTTTCATATAAATTTTATTTTAGGCTTAGCATTATATAATTTGAATCGTTTTGAAGAGGCTATTTAGTTTTTTGATAAAGCTTTAAACATAATTCCTAATAATTGTGATGTCCTCAATAACAAAGGTAATTGAGTTTGTCTTATTATTTAAAGGCAATGCATTATATGATTTGAGTCTTTATGAGGAAGCTATTCAGGTTTATGATAAAGCTTTGAGCATCAATCCTCAACATTTTGATGTGCTTAATAACAAAGGTAATTTTATTTTTTGTTATTTTAAACCTTAGGTTTAGCATTAAGCGAATTAAATCGTTTTGAAGAGGCTATAACATTTTATGATAAAGCTTTAAATATTAATCCTGAAGAATGTGATTTGATAAATAAAATAGGTAATTGAGATTTCATTTAAATTAATTTTAGGCTTAGCGTTATATAATTTGAATCGTTATGAGGAAGCTATTTAGTTTTATGATAAAGCTTTAATCATCAACCCTAAAGATTCTGATGTACTGAATAACAAAGGTAATTGAGTTTTTTATTTTATTTCTAATTTAGTTTAAGCATTATACAAGTTAAATCGTTTTGAGGAAGCTTTAAAATTTTATAATAAATTTTTAGATATCTATCCTGGAAAATGTGATGTGAGAAATAACTAAGGTAAAATAAATCTTTCAATTTATTTTTCTGTTAGCAGTAGGATTACTTAAACTAAATCGCTCTTAGTAAACTATTTAAAACTATGATCCAGCTTAAAGCATCTAGCCTAAA